GTAAAAACTGCACTTCTTGTTCTAAGGCAGTGGTGGGCAACCTGCGGCCCACAGGCCACATGAGGCCCATCAGGGTAATCCGCTGGTGGGCCACCAGACAGTTTGTTTACATTTGCACGGCCGCCTGCAGCTCTCAGTGGCCGTGGTTCACCGTTCCCGGCCAATGGGAGCTGCGGGATGCCTGTGAATCAAGATCATTAGGCTGCTATTTTAATTCTTTGTAACTACAGTATCCTGTTCTAAATGTATATAAACCATGCCAACTGTATAGGAGAGCTTAGAGGAAATGTGTGAAAGTAAAATACCCAGATCATAGCTATGGAGAAACAATCTCCAGAAAATGCACCCAGAGGAAAAAGGTGTAAACAACTGAAAAGGTGCAAAAAACAGTACCAATCAGGAAAACGTACATCTCAGAACTTCAGATAAAGAGCCTGAGAGAAGCAAATTGTCAGCATCACTCAGACAATATCAGCTGACAATCTGTAATAGTGGATGACTAGAAATTCTAACAATTAAGCATGTCTTTAGGAAGACTAAAAGAAAATATATTGTAAAACGAGCTACCAGACTATTATTGTGCTTTAAGAAGATCTCTTACTGTTCCTTAACTTAGAAAGGGTAGACTTTGTTAATATAATCTTGTAGTACAGTGAAAGAGAATTATTACCCAGTTAGTGGGGAAACTGTCCTAAGCTAAAGAGAATAAATACATCAAGAGAGGGAGGCAATGGGCTTCTGTCTGAAAATTGCAGGGGAGACAGAGAAATCAACTGTCATTTTAATCTCCATCACAAGTTAATATGATGGTGTTGGTGCAATGCCATGGGAGCTAACGATTCCAGTTGCCATTCTTGTGGCATCTGGTTACTTCTGTGGACTTGCATGACTCAGTGAAATGTGTATGTTACATAAGCCCTGGTTCAAATGGAAGTCTTTCCATTGGCTTCAAAAGGCCCTGAATAAGGCCCATATACTAGGATAATATAATTTGTTTCTCCCTTCACTTTCCTCTCGTTCTACTTGTCTATTTGTCTTTTCTTAGGGTACCAGCTTCTCAGAGCATGGATCATGCCATCTTCTCTGTTTAGAAGGCAACTAGAACACTGTGGGTGTTACTGGAAGTAATTAAATAATATCAGTGTATCATGACCTGTTCTTAAAGGTCTATTCCTTTTTGTTGTCATTGCTTTTTTCATTCTGGGCCTGATCCAAAGCTCACTGAAGTGAATAAGCACTACCATTGATTTCAGTGGGGTTTGGATCAGGCTCTTTAATCATTTACATGATTCCATTTTTTAATTTTAATGTGGTTTGTTTTATTTTACAGAATCCTGAAATACCAACCTCTGTTGTCATGGTGGAAATCATGTGGCACCTGACAGGTTACTGGTAAGAAAAAAAAAATCACTAGAACAAATGACTGTTTCTTCCTATTTATGAGTAAAAGCTCATTAGAGTTGAATAGTGACATAATAAAGTCTATATCAGCATCATAAATATAAAAGTAGTGTGAATATAAAAATATAATAAAATATAACAATAATGTGACTTGTTGGTGTGGTGGTATTTTTATCCTGTTTCTTCTTAATCTTTTCAAATTACCAATGGCAGAAGCTGCCCCTAAAACCCCCAGAAAACCCCAAAAATCCCAAAAAGAAACCGATTCCACTTAAATGTACATGTCATGTGTAAACGTCTCAAGTTCAATTTTTCTGGGAAGTTTAGAAACCATCAAAAAAAGCAGTTAAAATTATGGGACTGGATTTCCCTCTGTTACACCTGTTTAAGGTCAATACATTGGTTGCACTTGTTCTCTGCATGATTTTGAGAATTCTAGGAAAAACCATTTGTTTATTGTAAAGACACTCCAGCCCCTCTATGGTGGGTAAAAGAGCTAGATTGGCATAAAGGAGCCCTAAATAATAATACCTAGCTCTTACATAGGGCTTTTTATCAGTGGCTCTCAAAGCACTTTACAAAGGACATATAAGTATCATTATTCCCATTTTACAGTTGGGGAAACTGATGCCCCGACTCTACCTGTTGGAGCTTGCTCCCACAAAAGCACTGTCAATTACAGCTGTGAGTCTGCCCTTTGATGATCCCCTTGCATAGTGGAAGAAGTGGGCCAGAGTGCACAACACTGTGGACATTCTGGACAATGTAGTGGTCCAGCGGGCAGCCCTGGGAGACTGCTGTAACTTAGAGAGGCCTACAGGGCCTCTACCTCTCCCTGGGCTGTGAGTTTTGTGCTGTGCCTCTAAAGGTATGTCTACACTTCGAGCTGGAGTTGAGATTCCCAGCTTGAGGAGACATACCCACACTAGCTCTGATGTAGCTGGTGCATTAAAATAGAATGTAGCCATAGCAGTGCGAGTAGTGGAAGGGGCCAGGTGCCCCGAATACCTGCCTAGGTCTCTGATGGGCACACACTTTGGGCAGATAGCCACTCTCATGACAGCAGCTACATTCTATTTTTTCGCGTGCTGTCTCCATCAGAGCTAGCACAGGTTTGTCTCCTCTAGCTGGGAATCACACCTACAGCTCAAAGCGTAGACATACCCTTAAAGACTTAGCGCAGAATTTCATCCACTAGATATCTTGTTGTCCCACAGACCTTCTGTGGAGTAAAACTATTACCCTAGCAGAAGCTTCTTCATTGGTAATGCTAAAGAGGATTTGATTGACTGACTGGGATTCATCTTCCAAATTAGATGGGTAAAATGATTTACAATATAATACTGCACAAAACTTTTTGGAGTTATGTGACAAGCAGAGCTATGGGTTTCAATATGCCAAGGTAAAATAGTTTTCCTCTCTTTGTCACTTCTTAACTACCAAGTGAAGGCCTATAATTTATCCATGTGTTAAGCTATGGCCAAGAAGTAGTTGCTGCAGAAAGTAGTAGCTGGCTGATCTTTTAATGTTTTCTTCCTTATTTAGATCTTTGTCATTTGAAGAGTTACATGTGTTTCTTGAATTAAAACCCTTTCATATTCTGTGAAATATCTTTCCAAATCCCAGTCAGCCAGTACACACAAGTTATTTCCTCATTCCATAAGTATTTTCGACTTTTTGCATAAGCTGTAGGAGCTTTGAACTTCAGTCTGTATGTGTAATGAAGGCAGATAGCCAGACTCCAGCGTTGCTTCAGGGATTGATGCAATACTTTTCAGTACATTTCAAATAAACAGAAGATGGGAGTGAAGTATGTAGGAGGTATAGCCTGTTCTTTCATGATAAAGTTAATGGGCACTAGACATCCTGACACTTTCTAACCTATTTAATTGATGTGTGTCTTCAGTATGTAGTATGTGATTGTGTGTAAGACAGACACTGGATTTTAATGAAACTCCATATCCAAATCCTTATTCTGAAAGATTTGAATTTTGCAACTTGACTTATGGGACTTTAATGAAACTGCAAATTCAAACACTCCAAACTACAGTAATATTCACACTCATATCTATATCTGGATATAAGCTGGTCTAATGTAGACCTTGTAATTTCTGTGCTAAGGTGGGCTTTCCTGGAGTTTTGAATTGATCTAGCATGGATCCTTACAAGCAGGTAATCTGTAAAATCTATATAATTTAGTTAAGTCATTTATCATGATATGTACAAGAAGGATACTGTGTCATCTTGTAATACATTTTTGTAAAGTGCATATTGGTGGTGTAGGTATTACCGTCCAGTCATTCTTTTCAATGCAGCATTTATTATCATTCAGTAATACTAGACACATTGTTAACTCTGGAATAGAAAGAAGTAAGGCAAAATGTCATGGTTATTGTGCAAAGTAAAATCAGACAAATTATTATAGTAGTTCAGTAATTTAAATATTCATGAGGAAAAGGTGGGTAAACGTTGCAGGAAAATTTTATTAGACTAAATAGAAAAATAACCATAATAAGTGGCAACATTTTGATTAGTTAGCTCTTGAATTGTCCTTATGATACGAGGGTGATCATTGAAAACTTGTCCCGTGTATTTTAGGTTAGTCCATTAAAAATGTATCATCCACAACTTTAATTCTTTGTAATATGGAATGTTGGATCAACACTTAACAATTATTTTTCTTGGCCAAATATTAAGAACTTTAAACTTGTAAACTGTAGCAGGTTCAGGAACCCATAGAAACTCTGTTTGACATCCATAAAGCTGATTGAAATACAAAATGTTTTAATTTTTTCAGCATAGTGGCACATTATATATTCATATAAAGGGACAAATTTATACTTAATCAGATCTGTATTCTTCCCCTCACTTATTTACTTCTAGCTAAAGATTTATAGAACTGTTTGTTTGCCCAGAATGCAAAACTTGCATGACGATGCCATAACACCAATTTGGAAACAAAGGGGCATTTTGGCTATGTTAATATTTGTGCTTATTTCTCACAGAAATCCCCAGCTAATAATAGATATGTGGCTTGCTCACAGACCAGCCCTGCTAAACTTTTATTGCTTCCTATAGTATGTTCCTGCTGTCTTCTTCCTTGGAGATATTCATTACATGGCTATGAAAGAAATGAAGGAACAAAATTATTGCTCTCTTGTTGACAAACGGAACCAGATTGGCTGTCTTTATCTAATCCTAGGTGTTGAAGACAGCGGAAATCTCTGTTGGTTCACACTATTCAAGCAGTAAATAGAAAGTGATGGGAATAAGTGAGTTGCTTTGTAGTGTGGAATAGGTAACAGGGGGTCATTTTTCAGTTTGAATTTCACTGAAAGCTCCTATATAATACAATCTATTTTTTTTTAATTTGTGTTGTCAGTTCTTCATAAAACTTTTCACACTTTGTTCCTTCCGGGGTTAGAATTATCTGATTTAACCTGCCATTTCCTACTGGATGTATTTAAAAATAAAAATAGCCAAATTTATATTGATTAGGCCCTTTTTTTTCTTTTTTTTTTTTTTACCTTTTCAGGACCTCTCTGACCATCCTGCTAGTTTTATGTCTGTTCCTAAGGCCACCTGGATCACATGCTTCAGTCAGTTACAAGCCCAACATTGTACTGATACTGGCCGATGATCTTGGTATTGGAGATGTAGGCTGCTATGGAAATGATACTATAAGGTAAAGGATTTAAGCATAGTAATCAAAGTTGTTAATTTACTTTTTTATTGTAAGAATGTCATAGTCTGTCCAATTCTTCCTCTGCTGAGAGGCTTGCTGGCAGAAGGACGGGATTCCCTGCTGGTGTCACCAGCAGTAGGTTAAAGGTACTAACTGGACCATTTCTCTTCCAGCGCTATAAAAGCCTCACAATGACATACTCTGTTAGCAATGGCTATGTTTATTGTCAGTTATTTATCAATAACAATTCTTTTGTGTTCTTTTGGGCCTGATTTTTAGAAATGCTAAGCAGCCATCACCACCAACAGAAGTCACTGGGGGTGGTTGGTGAGCAGCCCCTCTAAAAAACAAGTCATGATTGCATTTGTATAAGTTTAGGCGATTTTTTTTCTGACTCTCAGATAAAAAAAATAATTAAACGTGAAAATAAAATAAAGAAAAGGAGAAATAAATGTTCCTTATGCTCCTAAAGGCAGCCTATTTCAGTTGAGAATGTTTAAGGAGTTAATTAATGTTAACAAAATGGAAGGCAATTTTGATATACAGCGATGTGTTGATTTTTTTTCATCCCATTTCTGTAGGCTTTATATGTGGTTGTTTAAGCGGAGAACCAATCCTGAAGTCCTCGCTTGGGCAAAACGCGCATTGACTTCAATGAGAATTTTGCATGAGTGAGGACAATCTGCCTTTTGTGATGAGTTCTGCATAAACAGTGATGGTATGATAGTGCCAGGTGTCTTTCTACCGTAAGAGTAGGACAACATAATTATTTTTTGAAAAAAAATCCACATAACCTTCAGCCTCTCACCATGTATTACATTGTCACCTGCTATTTCCATTAACCAGCAGGCTTCTGTCAATTCCTGAGTAAGGCTGTGTTCCTGCGAGTAGCCACACAGGGATGGGCCCCTGCAGCCAGAGAGCCCCAGTGGCCTCCATGTGGCTGTGCACCAGCATGAGGATACACTGTGTGGAACTGCTTGTAGGGATGGGGTCTAAGCTTGGGAATTATTCACTTTAAAAATGTCCAAACAATTGTAATGACCAGACTAAGAGAGAGAGAAATAAAAAATCTATTATCCTAATTATGGCAGAGGAAATAGTCAACGGCCAACTTTAGTAGAAAGCTCAGGAAATGCTTATTAGGTTTTTTATTTAAAAAAAAAAAGAAAAATACAGTACACAACATTGCTAATCACTATTAGCTGACAGACCACTGTAATGAAATTTGGTTGTGTTGGTTTTGTTTTTAGGACCCCTAATATTGACCGTCTGGCAAAGGAAGGAGTGAAGCTTACTCAGCACATTGCTGCGGCTCCACTTTGCACCCCAAGCAGAGCAGCTTTCCTGACTGGCAGATACCCCATCAGATCAGGTTTGGACCTGTTTCATGGTACAGTGCCATCTTAGCAAGAGATCTTAGCTTTTAAACATTTAGGCCAAAGGGACCATTATGATCATCTAGTCTGACCTCCTGCACATTGCAGACCACAGAACCTTGCCCACCCGCTCCTGTAATAGACCCCTAACCTCTGGCTGAGTTACTGAAATCCTCAAATCATGATTTTAAAGACTTCAAGTTACAGAGAATCCACCATTTACTCCAGTTTAAACCTGCAAGTGACCTGTGCCTCATGTTGCAGAGGAAGGCGAAAACCCACCAGGGTCTCTGCTAATCTGATCCAGGAGAAAATTCCTTCCCAACCCCAAATATTAGTTAGACCCTGAGCATTTTGGCAAGACCCAACAGCCAGACACCTGAGACAGAATTTTCTATAGTAATTCAGAGCCCTCCTCGTCTAGTCTCCCATCACTAGCTGCTGGGGATATTTGCTTATTTTATGTTATAATTATTGCAACATGGATCCATTCATCCCTGCCTCTGCACAGCACATAAAAGAGCACTGATGTAGCTAGAAAGGAGGCTAGGAGGTGCAAACAGATGGGAGCAGTAGCCATGATGTACCCCACTGAATTGCCACCAGAAGCCTCTCCACATGGGCAATGCACTTTTGAAGATCCATAGATATTTAACAGATGTGGCTGGGCCATATGAAAGTCAGTGGGGTAGAAAATAAACAGTCATTCCTGGCAGCAGCTTCCCCTCAAACTAGTATATTTTGTGGCACAAAAGATCATGGAATAATGCTGCTCTGTAATAGTGATGCCAATAGTGAGATTTAGTAACTGTATAGCAAAACATTAACAATTTATAGCACCGTGCTCAAATGGCAAAAGGTTTCTTAAACCCAGTTTACTTTAGTCCTAAATCCTAAACAGAAATACCTGTGATAGTAATGTAATGGCAAGTAAGTGCATGTAGGCAATATACTCAGACTAGTTTCATTCCCTCTGGTCAAAAAACAGGAATGACTGACATGCAAGACAAATGTCAGTAACTTATAATTCTGTAACTGTGTTATAGTTCACCCTAACCACACAATAGTAATCAATTTGACAGAAGCATTATTTTCTCTCCTGATGATACAAGTTCCAGGGATGAAAGACAAATAGTTATGCAAGCTTCTAGATTGCAATTCCCTAGTCATTGCACTATCGCAAATTATTGCAGTGTGTATCCCAGAGAGTTTGAAGTTAATATGCTGCCCCACTTCCACCCTTAACCTCCCATTGAGATCAGTGGGAATTGTGCACCCATATCTACAGTCTAGTCTGTGTTCCTATAACTCAGTGCAGAACCCGTAAAGTCTGGATGATATTGTAATATGTAATAGCCCTTATATTAGTGACCCATTTCAGTCTTCCAGAAACTTGACATTTGACTTATGTTTGACCATCTCCATGCCCTATGTGTTTACAGCTTTCCTCTTTTTCCCACCATCAAACATTCACTCAGATCCACAACTCTGGTTTCTAAAATCTGTAAAAAGATGTTTTTTCTATGTTTTTCCAAGTCCTGCTGCAAATAATGATTAAAAGGTAGAAGGAAAACATCACACACATCTGTGTGAGGTTCAAATGAGAAATTGGTAATATAAAAGCAAGAGATTTACATCTCCCCATTCTCACCCAGAGACTAATTTATTTTCACTGGGGCTTAACCAGACAGCATAGGCTAGATTCTTAGCTGGTGTAAATCAGCATCACATTATTAAAGTCGGTGAAGCTATGCTGATTTACATCAGCTGAGGATCTGGACCCAAGAATGTAAGTATGTTTTCTAGTGGCCGGCTAATTATTCAGTTATTGGAGGCAAGGAGGAGAGAGACAATGGAAAGATACAAAAGGTTGATTATTGAGTCTAGCAAGTTTTGACTGTGCAGACGAGAGAGCTCTAGCGAGCTATTATAAAAACAAAATTTGCTTTTGACTAAAGCACCCTCATTGCTGTGTTTAGTACTTTTAAAAATTGTGTATTATAGGTATGGATGCCACTAATGACTATCGTGTTATTCAGTGGGCTGGGGCCTCAGGAGGGCTCCCTCCAAATGAAACCACTTTTGCCAAGATACTACAGCAGCAAGGTTATACCACAGGACTAATAGGTATGTAGACTCAATATTGGTTGGGTAAAAAGTATTAGCTGACCACTTAGCACTGAAATACTTCATTGTGAGGGGACTGATCAATTCTCAGTTTTAATGTTTATGACATCATATCATATAATATGTCTTTGTTCCCTTGTGTCAGTGTCAAACTGTCTGGAGTGGCTCACAAGCGTGAGTGCAACCTCAGGGCAGACTGATCAGGAACAGGGCGAAAAATCCAAACTGACTGTATGTTCTATAATTAGAGTTCACCAACTAAGTATCAAATGTGACCTCCTAAAGCATTATAACAGCCTTAACATGGAGTCACAGACAGTCCCCCTTTGAGCACTCCAATCTATCTTGACACCCAAGCAAGCCTGCCTTTATAATAGATGGCCCTTTGCACCAAAAACCACATCGGTATTCAGGTTATTCCCAGTCCTGAAGAACCAGTCACTTACCCCAGGTCAACGGTACCTCCGATCTCAAATCAAAGATAACATGTGTAGCCAGTAAGAAAAAGAAATAGGAGAGTTATTTATGCGGTTAAAGCAGGTAAACATACACCCACAAATGAGTTAGTCAAGTTTCAAAAGATAAAAGAAGCTTCTATAATAAGTGAGGTTTTATGTCCTTTAGGGCGAACCCAAGGCAAGCAGCTTGGGGATCTCTTGCTTATGTTTCGGAATCTTTGCCGCCCAGAATCCAGGCAGCATAAAGAAAATGCCTTAACAGGCATTTTTATTCCCTTCCCCGAGGGTTCAAGCTGTGCTGGGAGGAGGGCTTGTGCACATACCCTCTTCAGGGGGGCAGGGAAGCAATCAACAAAGTATTTTGTCCACAATGGCATGTCTGACAGTAGACCTTCTTTTGCTGGGGAGGAGATAACGCCTTTTGTGGTAAACTGGCATTTCACACTTGGTAATGCTTCTTCCCTGACTGTGGAGGGATTTACAGTTTTAGCAAACATTTAAACATTACCTTAGAACAGGGATCAGCAACCTTTGGCATGCAGCCCATCAGGGAAATCCGCTGGTAGGCCAGGACGGTTTGTTTACCTGCAGCGTCCGCAGGTTCGGCCGATCGTGGCTCCCACTGGCCGCGGTTCGCTGTTCCAGGCCAATGGGGACTGCGGGAAGCGGCGGCCAGCACATCCCTCGGCCTGTTACAGATTTCCCTGATGGGCCGCGTGCCAAAGGTTGCCAATCCCTGCCTTAGAACATGGGATACAGATACTATAGGTAGAATTAATGCATGCAGCATCCTACAAGCATTCCATAAAGTCTAAACATATTCTTGTAACTCTAATATCTATTTTAACAACACTAACACACAGGTGAGTGAGACTGGTTTCCAGCTGTGCATTTGTCAGTGTTCAGTGAGGCCTGGGACCTTGGCATGATCTGGCACCAGGTATATCCTGTAGGCACTAGTTCTGCACCAAAGAAACTATTCCAGTCAGAAAGACATTCAGCTGGAAAGAATAAATGATACTGATGATACGCTCACCTTTGAAAGAGAACTGTATCACACCCAACCACAAGCACTTGTCCAAGATCTAACTGCCTCTGCATTCATTTAAATAGACCTTGCAAGATTACTGTACCAGGAATAGTGCTATCTAGTGATTCCCAATAATATTATATTAACAGGTACAAATGAGTTACATTTTGAGCCTGTACCTTTAGGTTTTAGACACTTTGGGCCAGAAGCACAGCTGGTATAAATTGACACCGCTCCAATTGAAAGCAATGGAACTAAGCCAATTTACACCATCTGAGAATTTGGCCCTTCATGTATAGCAGTACCATGAGTTAAGGTTATTCAAAAGTTACAGTATACTACATTGTACTTGAACAAGATTTCAATACAGCCCAAATAAAATATCCTTTTACAGGATTAATAAAGATGTCAGTTTCATTTGTACCTGTCTAATTGTGCCACTCAATTTTCATAAGGCAACTTGCTAAAACAACTATTCATTTTTTAGTCATGACCTGAAATGGTATTCCCTCAAATGGTTCATCTAACCTCTCCCACCATAAGGGCCAGGTCTGAAAAAGCATAAACTGAGAATTTTTAAGACTGAATTTCCAGAGGACTCAACCCAACCTAATATGGATGCCTAAGTCTGGGCAGCCAAAAACTTTGGCCTACATATACAAAACAGCATTTACACACACAAATTAAACATCTGCTATTTAATGTGCATGCACAAGTTGATTTGTGTACATTCAAAATCAGACACAAAAATTAGCAGAAGATATTGAAAATGTAGCCCTTAAGGCATTAGAAAACAGGAAAACATTATTTTTATTATTATTATATTATTTAAGTTGTGCTGTGTTGAATCTTCATTTTCCTTGTGATATATGAGGGGAAAATGCTGTAGTTTCAGAATTTTCATAAATATCACATTTGACGCTGCCAAGTGCTTCCGCTTGGCTTCAGTATTGAATCACTGACATAAACCATGTACAGTTTCCTGTACTTCACCATAGACATTATCCCTTAGGGAGCCCATGGCATTTCATTCTGAGGATTTAGATGGCAGAGTGTGCTCACTTTTTGCCGAGGGGTGCCTAAGTTTGAGTCCCAACATAGGCATCAAAAGCATCATATAATTGAGCAAGACTGCCAGTCTTTGTTGAACAGTCTGGGGGTCATAAGCAGTATTGGCAATAAATAGCAGGATTGAAGTGCACGACCATTAAGTAAGGCATCTTGCACAGTTCCTGCCCATGTTACATTTAGCTGGGCACTAAATTAACTCACAATTTCTTTTAAGATGTGTATCACAACTTTGTATTTTCTAATTGTCTAAGGGCTGCATATTTTGTCTCTCTTCAAAATTGAAATGGGTTTAACTGCAGAGCAAGAACAGCTATTAAATGATCAGCAATGTGATTTGAGGGCAATATTTTTGTTAAAAGCTTTTGATGAGTTGGCTTTGACAATGTTGCTTACTGCATGTCTGCCAAAAACGTATTTCTCTTATTTATATGTTTATTCTCTATGGGCCTGTTTGTTTGGTTTTTTTAAAAGAGAATCTGTGAACCCACAGCTACCATTAACTTCAGCTAAAGATTTGAGCATTCAACACTTCTGAATTCAATCCCATTATATCTGTGTCTGTATTTACAGACAGTATGCCTATATTTTCATCAAAAAGTGGAATTGATCATGATGGATTGGGAAATAATTTGAGTATAGGGTGACCAGACAGCAAGTATGAAAAATTGGGACAGGGGGCGAAGGGGGGTAATAGGATCCTATATAAGAAAAAGAGCCAAAAATCGGGACTGTCCCTATAAAATCAGGACATCTGGTCTGGTCACCCTACTTGAGTATTTGGCAGAGGGCAATTCAGACTTCCTGATCAGAGTGTTCACCCACCTATTCATCATTTCATATCTGCATCTTGCAAGGAGGCTGCATCCTTTTTTCTCAGATATAGACCTTTTGGTTGTGATCCTTGCTCGTGTCAGCTCAGGATTAGAATACTACAGTGCTCTCTGCATGCAGCTAAACTTTTAAATCCAATTGCAGTCTGAAGTTAGTGTGCCACTAGTAATTCAGTGGGCCACTTGTTTAGCAAAATTCTTGCTCTAAGTGCATGACTCTTGTGCTCCATAGCTGGGGCTGGTTGTGCCTTGATTCCAAAGTGGAATTCAAGGTATTATTTTTGATCCATGACATTGAAATGGCCTACCTGATGGACTAGAACTTCCCCCTGTATCACACTGGTGATCAGCAGTGACACCTGAGGAGCTTTAATATAGATGAAAGGGAGCGGCTGGCCCCTTGGTTTTGGAATTCACAGCCCTCATACCTTGGTTCAAACCATCTTGAATTTAGTGATCTTCTGAGTATGCTGCAAAGACCATCTGTTTGAGTGGGCCTTTGCGGGAGGACTGAGCTGGATTGTGGTGTGCCCTTTTTCTCTGAGTAATGATTATATATTACGGGGGAGGAGTGGCTGTTGTTTTGTTTCATGATGGCTTTATTATTTGAGTTGGAAAGGTTATCTAGAGCTTGGACAGGTACCATAAACTAGTATTTCTTTATGTCCGTTCACTGTATATATCCTCATCACTAAAGCTATTTACATCCAATATAGGGTTTACACTGATATCTCCCAACATCTCATGGCTTGTTTGGCCAGAAAAGATGTCATTTTCACTGGTATAAGGGGTCTTGAGCCTATTTCACTTTATAATTGGCTCCATATTTATATCCAGATCACACCCTATCACTTTGTAACCCACACATCATCTGACTTTCTACAGAGATCTACTGCTACACTGTTCTAAGTTTTCCAGAACAATATCCTACTTACTGCCCTCATTCATTATGTTGGCTTTCTGGAGGGTACAGAGGCAAGAGAATAATGTTGTTTCAGCCTGTGTAACAAAAGGACTTCTTTCCCCTCTTTCATAGCTGGTAGAAGTCCAAGAATGCCAGATATTTTCTGCCTTGCCCTTTAAATCCTGGCTGTTCTCGATTACTGGATCCTATTTTAGGGCCTATGAATAGGGCCTAAACCGATCCAGGCACGAGGGACTGTGTACCTGAACAGCAACCCCAATGGTTTCAGAGGGACTTGTGAGGATGTGAGGACTCAGCCTCTTGGAGCAGATTACATAATTAGGGTCTCATTATAGAAGGAAAAAGTAATTTTATTAATGAGGTAGTTTTTTGCTTTTTGTCCTCATGAGAGCAGAATATTTTAAATGATTGTATTGTATTGTAACTTTACATTTAAAATATATATATATATATATATTTTCAGGGAAGTGGCATCAAGGTGTGAACTGTGAATCCCGCAACGACTACTGTCATCACCCTTTAAATCATGGGTTTGATTATTTTTATGGCATGCCGTTTAGTCTAATGAATGACTGTCAAATAACACAACCTCCAGAGAAGGACAGAGTCTTGAGAACCAAATTCTGGCTTTACACTCAGACAATTGGCCTTGCTGTACTCACACTTGCAATAGCAAGACTTACTGGCTTGGTCTCAGTCACCTGGAAAATAATCACCTGCTTTGCTTGGTTTGGTTTTTTGTTCTTTGCATCCTGGTTCTCGAGTTATGGATTCATAAGATATTGGGACTGCATTATGATGAGAAACCATGAAATTACTGAACAGCCAATGGTGGTAGAGAGAACGACATCCCTTATACTGAGGGAGGCCATTTCTTTTATTGAAAGGTAAAATACATTTCATTTTGACCATATTTGTTTTAGTTCTTGAATATCTTACTACATTGTTTAATTATCTAATTGATTGATCGATTAGTTAATTTTTAAATAATGCTTTCAAATGTAAAGCCCTCTATATATAATTATTATCTTGACTCCAAAAGTTAAAGTCATAGACATAGAGTTTAAGGCCAGAGAGCACCACCAAATCACCTTGTCTGACCTCCTGCATATCATAGGCCACTAACCACCACCCCCATACCAAACTAACAACCAGTGTTAGATCAAAGTATCACGGTCCTTGGAAGACAAAACTTTTGTGTGGCACAGGCACAGAACAGGAGTGAGTGAGGTGCACCAATTCCTGAGGTTCCTGCAATGGCAGGGAATTGATTTAATGAGGCATACCAAGATTATTCTAGCAAGTGACCTGTGCCCCTTGCTTCAGAGGAAGGTGAAAACTCCCAAGGTTTGCCAGTCTGACCTGAGGGAAAAATCCTTCCTAACCCAACATATGGCGATCAGTGAGATCCATGAGCAAGACTCCTCAGCCAAGCACCTGAAATAAAAATATTCTCAGTACCATCTCAAAGCACCTGCCCACCGCATTCAGTGTCCCATCTCTAGTCAGGGCTATCTCTGAGGTTTCAGAGGAAGGAGACAAAATATACACACACACACACTGGGGTGGGGGCGGGGGGGATTCCCTCCCTGACCCTTACTGGTAAGCAGTTGAAGCCCTGAGGCATGAGATTTTAGGAACATAAGACACAGATTAAAAGGGACCTCCGGGCTGTCAAGGCCAGTCCACCACCACCACAGGCTACCCAGTCATGCAATCCTATTCATAAATGTGTCCATCTCTTTCTTAAAACTGATTAGGTTATTGCTTCTTCAACTTCAATTGGGAGGCTGGCTCAAAACTTTACTCTTCTAATAGTTAGAAACCTTCTTCTAATTTCCAGCCTGAATTTATTCATAGCCAGTTTTTATCCATTTGTTCTTGTGCCAACATTTTCCTTTGAAGTTAAGGCTGCCTGAAGGTTTTCCTTATAATTTACTGTTTTCAGGAACTCTTAACTTTTCAAAATTTTCAACTTCTGGACAGAAAATTTCCAGGCTCTGTTTATAAAATTGCTTTTTGTCCTCATGAGACCAGACTATTTTAAATGATTGCAGCTCACCTCAGCTACTGATCTATATTGGTGCTTCATTACGTTCCTCCTTTTCTCTCTGTCCCAGCAATGAACTGGGGTCCTAAAATAGTCAGGCAGCAAACTAGGGCCAGGTTCTCACCTGGTATAAATTGGCCTAACTCTCTGGACTTCAGCTGATTTACACCAGCAAAGAATCTGGCCTCCAAAATGGAACCTCTCTACTTGTGAATAGAAGACAAAGGGAAATATTTTAAATATTCAAAAATTAATGTAATTTTGTAATCACTGGGTTTAATTTCTGTACCCAGAAAGATAATGGAGCAAATAATAAAGCAAAACATCTAGAAGATAATAATGTGATAAGTAACAGTCAGCATGGATTTGTCAAGAACAAATCATGTCAAACTAACCTGCTAGCTTTCTTGGCAAGGTAAAAAGCCTTGTGGATGGGACGAAGCGGCAGACGTGGTATATCTTGACTTTAGTAAGGCTTTTGATACTGTCTCGCATGACTTTCTCATAAACAAACTAGGGAAATACAACCTATCTGGAGCTACCATAAGGTGGGTGCATAACTTTTTGGAAGACCTTTCCCAGAGAGTAGTTATCAGTGGTTCACAGTCATGCTGAAAGTGCATAACGAGTGGGATCCCGGCAGGGATCAGTTCTGGGTCTGGTTCTGTTCAATATCTTCATCAATGATTTAGATAATGGCATAGAGAGTACACTTATAAAGCTTGCGGATGATATCAAGCTGGGTGGGGTTGCAAGTCTCTTGGAGGATAGGATTAAAATTCAAAATGATCTGGACATTGTCTGAAGTAAATAGGATGAAATTCAATAAGGACAAATGCAAAGTACTCCATTTAGGAAGGAACAACCAGTTGCACACATACAAAATGGGAAATGATTGCCTAGGAAGGGAGTACTGTGGAAAGGGATGTAGGGATTAAAGTGGATCACAAGCTAAATATGAGTGAACAGTGTAACACTTGCAAAAAAAAAAAAAGCAAACATAATTCTGGGATGCATTATCAGGAGTGTTGTAAACAAGACACAAGAAGGTATTCTTCCACTCTACTCTGCACTGATTAGGCCTCAACTGGAGTATTGTGCCCTGTTCTGGGCACTACATTTCAGGAAAGATGTGGACAAATTGAGAAAGTCCAGAAAAGAACAACAAAAATGATTAAAGGTCTAGAAAACATGACTTGTAAGGGAAGATTGAAAAAATTGGGTTTGTTTAGTCTGGAAAAAGACAGAGGGGAGACATAACAGTTTTCAGGTACATAAAAGGTTGTTACAAGGAGGAGGGAGAGAAATTGTTCTTCCTAACGTCTGAGGATAGGACAAGAAGCAAGGGGCTTAAATTGAAGCAAGAGCAGTTTAGGTTGGACATCAGGAAAAACTTCCTAACTGTCAGGGTGGTTAAGCATTGGAATAAATTGCCTAGGGAGGTTGTGGAATCTCCATCATTGGAGATTTTTAAGAGCAGGTTAGACAAACACCTGTCAGGGATGGGCTAGATAATACTAAGTCCTGCCATGATTGCAAGGGACTGGACTAGATGACCTCTCAAGGTCCTTTTCAGTCTATGATTCTATGATTTCACAGAAACTAACCGCATAAGCATCTAGTTACTGGAACATAAGCACATATTAATATCACAGATTACCTTCACAAAAGAGTTATGACTTCAATTTTAAAAAAGCGAAGTATGTGTATAAAGTAAGGTACTTCTTTGCAAGGAAATGACAGATTAATTCTTTTAAAGAAACAAGCATGGGCCGTTCCTCCTCTTTGTTTCCTTTCTACATGTCCACACACCCCTCATCACCACGGAGTTGTTTCTTGGGAAGAGCAGGCATGGCTTATATGGAGATAATGTAGAGGAGATGGACTGGATGGTGGGTAAGTCGATTTAACAAATGATACTTGCTCTAACAACCTAACACACAATTAAAATGCTCACAACATTCATAAAGGAGAGTCATTGTTTCTGATTACTCACTGAGGTAGTCTGCTGCTGAGGGCTCATCTACACAAACCATTACTGTGCGGTAAGATGGGGTGTGTAAATGTACAGCTCTCCACAGGGCAGTTGTCTGTAGAGTGACCAGACAAGTGTGAAAAATCGGGAGAGGGGTGGGGGGTAATAGGAGCCTATATAAGAAAAAGACCCCAAAACCGGGACTGTCCCTATAAAATCGGGACATCTGGTCACCCTAGTTGTCTGTGCTGATCCGGCTGCTATGCACTAACCATTGCCTAGTGCATCTGGGAATCTGACCCATGCTGGCTATGGACTGTCTATTGACATAGTCTTGATTCAAACTGCAATATGTCAGTGCAGCCTAGGGAATGTTCAGTGCATAGCAGCAGGGTCCACACAGATAGATAATGCATGGCATACTGGAGAGCTGTAGATTTACACCTCTGCTAGCCACACAGTCAGTGTTTGTGTAGGTGTGCCCTCGAATTGTAAGGTCTCCAAGACAGGGACCATCTTTTTGCTCTGTGTTTGTCCTGCACCTACCACAACAGAGTCCTGATCCATGACTAGGATTCATAGGCACTACCACAATACTACTACTAATAATAATAATAATGGGCTAATGGTACATTATACTTTTCCTTTGCATTTAAAAATTGTCACTGAAATCACAAGCAAAGGTTCAGATCTCACAAACACTTCAGTACATGCTTATCTTTATCTGTGCAAGTAGTCCACTTGAGTCTACTCACATCCTTAAAGTTAAATGTGTGCATATTTGTAGAACTGAAGCCAAAATTTGTTTTACTAGCCCTAGCTCTACTTTTGTTTCTTGGTACATTCTTATCACTATTTTTATTTACAGGCAGGGTCCTGGATGCTATTGATAAAAAAGGTTTGAAAAATACCACACTCACGTACTTTGCCTCTGACCATGGTGGGTTTTTGGAAGCTCAAGAAGGAAAAGCCCAATTAGGTGGTTGGAATGGAATATACAAAGGTGAGGATTGTTACCCAGAGTGAATTTCTTAAAAATGCAAATTGTCTTCCTGATATAATTAACAGAGTATTTAATGGTACCATAGGAGCAAGTAAGTAATCAAATCATATTTATTAAAATAGCATTTTAGCAATAGGCCATAATGCATAGCAAATGAAGGCGTATTGTAAAATCAACAGCGCTCAGTAAAACAGATACAAATTTTAAAAATTCAAAAACTGACATCCTGTTGTCTGCAAATATTTCCTGCTCTAAAATTAAGTAAAGATTTCACATCCTTGCCTGCAGTCCTAGCCAGGTCAAGTTCTGAGAAGCCCAAGGAATGGAGAGAACAACGGACTTGCAAAAGCCAGGGGAACTTTAGGGTATGTGTCTTGTTAAGCTGTTCCTCCAGACATAGCCTTGGAAGACACTGTAGATTCATATGCTGAACACATAGCCAATAATTAATGCAAAGGCACCAAGCCCTAGTTGAAATTGTACAATCTATGTAAAGCAGATGGTTGGTAATTTGGGAAATGGAGCACTCTCCTTAAAACTTTTTTTGCACAACCTCTAACACGCTAAAGGTTTTCCAGCTCCAAATGTCCACACCATATAATATTTGGGCATGGACTTTATCCCTGAAAACTCTAAAAGCCAGAATGATTAAATTATCCCTGTGGACCTATGTAAAAGAAAGCACCAGTTGCATAGAACTTAAGGCTTTCTTCTTTACCTCTTCTATAGATTTATCCCATTAGCCATTATATGTAAAACAAATACCCAAAAAGGTTTCAATGATCCTATTCAATATAATAGCCCTCTATCCATTTAAGAAGCTTCGGTCTGTGGCCAAAGGAAATTACTTTAGCTTTCTGGGTCAAATTTGTTTGATTTGGAGCTCCCTTTTGTGGTCAGGTACTCCTGCTGGCAAAAAGAGCTAAAATCCTTTAACATTCGCATTAAGCCCGGAAGTATATGAGGCAGCAAAATCATGGCATCTGCATAAAGAAAGGCCAATGTAAATTGGTGCAAACCTCAGGGAGGGAAACACTATTTTAGTCACTTCTAAAATCACCACAACTTCATTAGTGTAAACATGAGCTATGAAAGGGGCCAATAAACAGCTCTGGTGGGCTCCCTTTGTGATGTAGATAGGGTCAGTCAGCTCACCTCGTTGCCATCTCCTACCTTTTGCCACCATTTGGCTATAAAGGTCTCTCAGGGGAGAGCGTAGCCGAAGAGCTATGACAGCGCTCACAAGTTTATCCCAGAGATGACCTCTATCAATGGAGTCAAAAGCCAATTTCAGGTCAACAAGGACCACAAAAAAATCCCCTCCCCCTTTGGGGGGGAGCAATATTTATGAATTAAATGAATAAGGGTATGTGACGGGGTGTCCACCCCACAATTAACTGCCCAGGCTGCACCTGGAGAAGGATACAGGGAGCAGGGATTTAATTAGAAGAGGCTCAGCTGGGCAGGAAGAGGCAGGGGCTATCTATGCCAGGAAGCTAGCAACAGAAGGGGCTGGAAGGAAGGAGTCTCCAGTCACTCCCTGGGAGAAGAGACATATGTCTGGGGCTGGAGGCAAGAAGCCTACAGTTACTCCATGGGAGGAGAGAGTGTAGCTTGGCAAGCCCAGAGAAGGGGGAGAGCCAAAGAGGTAGGCAAAGTTCAGGGGAAAAGCAGCAAGGTTTGGAATAGGTCAAACCTTGCCTGCTAGTGAGAGGGCCCCTGAGCAGGGACCTGGAATAGAGGGAACGTCCAGGTCCCCCTACCAGCTGCTGATGAAGTGGCACTGGTGGGGCACTGCTTGAGCTTGTTTGTGAAGAGAGACTTTCCAGCCCTGGAAGGGGGAAACACATATGGTGACTCGGCTGGAGGGTTCAGTCATGAAAAGGAAGCTGAGGTTCCTGAAATAAGAGGGGTGTACGGGGTGAGAGAACAATGGGAGAGACACTTCCAGGGAGGGCACAATGGCTGGCCAAAGCTAATCCCCAGGATGGCCAGCAGGAGACGCCACTAGCGGTGAGTGCACCCCATGACAGGGCAAAATAGTTTTCAATGATAGAGCAGCCATTTCTGAAACCAGCTTGTTTCTCAGCAAATAAATTACAACTTTCTACCTAAACCTTTAATATCCACAGGAGATCTCTAGTATAGTTTAAAAATCACATGTAAAAGGCTAATTGGTTGGTAATTCGCAGGCTCATTGCTTTCACCTTTTTTGTAAAGAAGAACAATATAACTGATGGACCAACATGGAGAGCAGAAATTTCTGTATTATTTATATTAGTAAATAATTTACTAACACAGGGGTCAGGGCCCACAAATTTATACTGTCCTTATAAACCTGTGTTGTGATAACATCCTCTCTAGGAGCTTTGTTATGATATTGTTGGTTTATCAAAATTGTAACTTACCTGGAGATTGGAAGCCATTCTGGAAAAGAACAAAGGTTTGGAGATATGGGCTTCAATATTAACTTTAATCTTGTCATAACCCATTGCCACCAACTTCCAAAATAGAATATAGTCCAACAGGTTTTTCTTCTGTGACCTGGTCACTTATTTTGTTAAAAGGAACAGAAATTCTTCCTGGTTGTACATTCATAGACTGTTTTCCTTTGACTTTTTCTATTGAATGGCCTCTGTCTAAGAAGAGCTCTCATACGCCAGACTTTCTTAGCCATGCACTAGTCTTTAAACTCCCCTCCACTCTCTCTTGCGAACCTAAACTGGAGAGCCTTTTTACCTTTTAAAATGTGTCTTCTGGGTAGAAAATAAAACACTGATCGTTCTAGTAATACACGTATGTGGTACTGCAAATTGGCATGTGACTCTATCTTTTCCCTAATTTTTTTTTAAATAGGGCCACTGACAAATAATACTTAGAATTTCTACCCCCTTAAATCAGGGGTACTTTCATTTAGACTGGGTTGAAAAGATGAAGCAAATCAAAAGACTTCTTACTAACCTAAGAGGTATAGGAGGGGTAGCAGGAATATTTGGAAGTTGTCACCACCAGGCTTCTTGTGATGGTCATAGGTCTCACACCAGGGCCATCAAGCTATTCTAGAACAGAGCTGCTGCTAAACACTCTACTCAAATTAACAGCTAATAATGAAGGAGCCTCAGGGAAAATGCTTCCTTTAGAATTTCTGGAGTCATAAATCCCCAGCATAATCTTGAGATCAAAGAAAGATTCTTTGATTTCTGAAATATCTTTAAATATTAAAAGGGGAACAAAGAGAGCCCAGGCAATTATAGACCAGTCAGCCTAATGTCAATAGCTGGAAAGATACTGGAACAAATTATTAAACAGTCAGTTTAAGTTTAACCCACCAGTTTGTGCCAGCTTTGGCTTTGGTACCTCCCTATACTTTCCCATATCTCATTTTAAATTCAAGATTCCAAGTGCTGATGAGCCAGGAAAGTACTCTCTAACTGTACTTGGTACAAAGTAGTCATGCATCTTTGCTTTGGCAAGTTTCTATTTTCTAATGCCAAAGCTGACTTCAGGTTTGCAAAGTGCTGTGGGACAATTGGCGTGGGTGGGCAGAATTGTGAGACGAGCATAATACATTAAGGTAACATAACTTCCCAACACCCATGTGAGTTACATTAATACCATGCACATAATATCTATGAATGTGGTGTATACTATGCCTAGCATATATGTATTGGCTAGTACAGTTGAATCATCCAGCACAAAGGGGGGGAGGGACTTCTCCTCTAGCAGCACCTATTAGGCTTCTCTACTCGCTGCTGCTGGAACCACTGCTCCACCTCTCCACTGCCCTCTGCACCTGCCTGGTCTTGGTACCTCAATGGCTGATCACTCCACTACTGTAGCCTATAGGATTAACCTGCTTGCTTGCATATATATATATCTTTTCTTATAGTTTAAGTATTTGGTTTATTGTAATAGGTTTATAGATTTATATTAAAGTAAGTTTGGCTGTAATGCAAGAGACCTACAGGCCATATCCTGTATGTTAAACTAAGGCAAAGTTTGCACATCTATATTAAGACCTTTTACCCAGAAAAGTAAAGTTGACCTATACCTTGTTACCTAAATAGATAAGTACCCATGCCTATGTCTATTACCTTTTATCTAGACCAATAGACAATGGAGAATGGCATGGGGGGTTTTCAATGTTGTACCCACAGACTTAGCAGGTACCACAAGGGAACTTATGTGCGTATGTACATGTCATCAATATGCACAAACATACTAGCCTATGGAGTAAGCGTACCCTAACATTTTGTGGTTGAGGAATGAAATTTGGGCATAGGAGGAAGGATTTCCGGCACTTGTGCCTATAAAAGAGGTGATTCTCCTCGCTAGAGCACTCCTCTCTATTATTCTGACTTACTTCCTCCACTGTCTCTATCTATTCTATCTATCTACGATGAGTGCTAATATTAGTAGGCTGTACTTATTCTTCTTAAACTTTAAGTTTCAAAGAAACTAGGCTAAGCTTGGTTTCCCTAAGTTTTATTCTTAGTTTGTTTATTAGGTTTTGATTTTAAGTTTAAGTTAGTCAAGTAATTTAGTTTTGATAGCTCTTAGCATTAGATTTTTCTAAGCACTGCATCCCTCACTCAAGAATTGAGAAACCTGAACTGCAAGGCTGGTCCTGTGTCTCTTACCACCAGGTTATCAAGGAAGGGTGTGAGTATATTAACCAAAGCTTTGTTGCATATAATACTATATTATCATATGTATCTTTCGAATAGCAGTAATGCAATTGTAACTTTGTAAAGTTATTTCACCATTTACTTACTATTATTGATTTTAATAAAAAGTCTTTAAGGCTATATCTGTGTCAGTGTGAGCTTCCTGTCAGACCCCCGAGGGTCCTTTATAAATTCTGTGGAGCCTGATTTGGGACAAGAAATTTTATCTTCTGATCAAACAGATTGGCGAGCCTAAAACCCATACTATTAATATTAATTATTAACTATTATTGATATTGACTAATTAATTAAAATAAAAAATAAATGATAAATTAAATTAATATTATTAACACACCCTAAATCAGGCTACACTACTCAAGTAATTAATCAAAGTTAGACTGCTCAAAATACTAGGGGTATAAGAAGATTTTAATACACCTCTACTCCGATATAATGCGACCCGATATAACACGAATTCGGATATAACGTGGTAAAGCAGCGCTCTGGGGGGTGGGGTGGGATCTGCACACTCCGGCAGATCAAAGCAAGATCAATACAATGCGGTTTCACCTATAACGCGGTAAGATTTTTTGGCTCCCGAGGACAGCGTTATATCGGGATAGAGGTGTATTGTGAAAGGAATTGATAAAGCTGCATCTATTTTCCTATGTTATTAAAATGTTCCAAAAAGAATTCCAGGAGATACACTAGTACATAGGCAACTACGTGATTAGATGGAATACTTTAATTCAGAAGTCCTCAAACTGGTGCTTCATGAAGGACTGGCTGGTCACATGCTAAATTGCATTAAAAACTGCTAAAACACATTAAATACTCTTACAATATTAAACAGTTGCTATAGTTTTAACAGGGTGTTATGTGATTGTGAATGGAAGGTGATCCATTGAATTGTAAATGGGAAGGGAGGCATCAATGTGACCATCTACGTAGTAAAATGTGATCCATCCTATGGTCCAGTGTGGCAATTCTCTTGTCTGTAAAACAAAGGGGAATCCGTAGATGGGTAAGCTACTGAGGGGGCAGCTGAAGAAAATCCATTTTCATGGGATTGAAACAACTAAATTTACACTTCATGTTTCTAAAATATCTTCTATTGCCTTGTTATTTAAAAATAGGTGGAAAAGGCATGGGAGGCTGGGAAGGAGGGATCCGTGTGCCAGGGATATTTAGATGGCCGGGAGTGTTACCTGCAGACACAGTTATCGATGAACCTACAAGTCTTATGGACATTTACCCTACGGTGGCTTACCTGGCTGGAGGGATAGTGCCCCAGGACAGGTACAGAAATTGTAAAACATATTCAGTCCTTTAAATTTCCAATATGGAATCTTTTTTGAAAACGATCCTAATGTTAGATCTCAATATTGGATGTTTATCATGTGATTTCCAGATCCCTAAGCTGAATATAGTTCATATAAATCTTTTACATGTTTGAGATTCACCCCGTTCTCATAAATGTTCCTTGTTCCAAAAGTAAGTTTTCAATTGTGCTTTCAATTGCAAGTGTTTTAAATTGCAATGGCAGTCGAGTACAGAACTTGTTATCCTGCAGCTCAATGCAGTTTGGTGACTGCCATTCTCTCCATCAACATTAGGGTGATCGATGGGCGGAACCTAATGCCTTTACTGCAGGGGTCCATTCAGCACTCAGAGCATGAGTTCCTGTTTCACTACTGTGGCATGTATTTACATGCAGTACGGTGGCACCAAAAGGACAGTGAGTATAACGGTTCTTCCAAAAACAATGATGGCTTTGCAACAAGCCTGGGATAGGAGACAGTATGTAGTTGTGCCAGCTAGGAACGGTGCAGGTACCCATAGAGCAGTAATAATTTGCTGTTGTCCTGCATGTATATTTTGATATACACGCTACGGGCACAGGTATGCTGACTAGAATATTGGGTGCAGAACCAAGGTTCTCCCTGCTCAGTTGCTCTGGGAGGGGTAGTATTGGGTTAATCCTGTTTGGATGGACCCAAAGTCTGACTACCCCATCCAGCAGTATGAAGGCAAAACTTGGCACCTTGTGTTACAAATTAAAAACTTTACTTGTTAAGTTCTGAAAATATGTTCAGTGCTGAAAGATCTTTCACACTTCTAATGACATTTTATGTCCATCTGTATCATCTTACATCTGGTTTCTCTCCTACCAGGTGGTGCACTGTGGAAGGCTCATTATGTGACTCCAATATTCCAGCCTGAGGGTGCTGGAGCATGTTATGGAAGAAGAGTTTGCCCATGTTTTGGGGAAGGTGTAACCCATCATAACCCTCCTTTACTCTTTGATCTCTCCAGAGACTGTTCCGAGGCCAAACCTCTATCATCTCCCACTGAGCCCCTGTTTGACACAGTAATAAGCAGAATAGAAAGAGCTGTTCAGGAGCATCGACAGACACTGACTCCAGTCCCACAACAGCTCTCGTTGTACAACATTATGTGGAAGCCCTGGCTACAGCCATGCTGTGGGACATTCCCGTTTTGCTGGTGTGATAAAGAAGGTGACAGTGCCCACCCTGCTCTGTAAAGAAAATATATCGAAGGTTAACTGTATGAAAAGCTTTAAAATCAAGTGTCTTTTTTGAGCAAATGGATTCTCTTTTTGTTGATTTAGGATTACACAGTTGGCTAGCTGTATGAAATAGGGTTTAGTGAAGGCCATTTCATGAATCAAGATTCCAATCTAGATGGACCAAATTAATATGTTCCAGTATGGCAAGTCTTAGGAGTATCTATCCACGGCTGAAGACATAGCTCAGATACATTGCAGTGTGCCAAAATTAAAGGTGCTGTAGTAACCATAACTCTGAATCTCTTGAAATTTGTGGATATAGGTTCACTAGCTCAGCATCATTTTTATACTGAATTTCTATGCAAGGATGTACTACCAACATTCTAGCAAAGGGCTGCCTACAATGTTTCAGCCCAGTTGGTCATATATAAGACACGTCCTGTGTAAAATACTTCCCCGCCCCCAAAATAATTTCCCTTGATACCCCATGGGAGAAGAATCCCTTAGTCCTCCCCTAGCTCCTCATAGAGGCTCCTCTAGGTGATTCTTCTATCTTGCAGCTAGTTCTTCTAGAAGCAGTGGTGATGGCAGATATATCCTCTGGCTATGCAGTAGCTGCTTGGTTGAGGGATTAGCTCTCCCATGGAGATCATTTGGGGAATGGTTCTCCTTTGGTTCTTAAAGAGGACAGGCCTCTCCTGGCTGATGGCAATCTCCCCTAACTGGTCTGGGGCTGTCAGTCCGGTCCCTAATGCATTCCTTAGAGCATGGTGGAGGATGCAAGAGGGAAGGAAGCTCCCTTTTCAGCAGCTTCCAGAGGAATGGGTGGCATACCTGGCATGCCTGAGTGAGCAACAGTCAGCACCAGACTCAACCCTAGTGGAGGCTGAAAATTGTAATATGCATAGCCAGTCTTAGTACTGTGATAGAGGGCTGTAAAAGTTATTCTAGCCACCACACCGCAGTGATAACTGATTCCTGCTGTCAAGTAACAATAAAAATAATAAGGACTGAGATCCTCCCCTCTTACTGAAAAGCCCATGGGAGGGCTCAGAAGGAGGGAATCCCTATGAGGATCCCCTAACGTGAATCGCCCCACATCATTTAGACCAGCTCTGACCCCCACTCCCATCCCTGGCAGCACATCTCCATGGAAGCTATACTAACAAAGCTATCTCCTGGACACGACTGCCCACATGATGGTGGAGGGGGCAGGGCTGTGCAGAAAAGATAATATCTTAAGGCTGCATTGTTTTGCTGATTAATTTATATGGGGCCAAAGGGAGTGACTATGTGGATCCTACCCACTTCTTCTCATAGACTACCCAGACTCCTCCACCTTCCCCTTGGATATGTTTGATTTGGCTATATATAAACTATGTATATAAACTATTAACAACGCTAAGACTCCGCTAACCTATGAATTACTAGATGGAAACTTTCTCTTGCTTGTTTGGAGCATGTCTGAGCTGCTTTCTTAGCTTTTTCCTGGCTTCTTTTTTTGATTGGCTTCTACTTATTAGAGCCAAGATTTTTAATGGTATTTAGCTATTGCTGCCTTCAGCATTGTAACATATAACTGATTTAGGAGCCTAACTCTCATTTTCTAAAGGGATTTAGGCACTTTGGAGTCAAAATTCCATTCATACCTAAATTGCTTTTAAACTTCCAAACCTAAGCGCTTCATTTGATCCTTTCTGCATTGCCTGATTTCTGCACTTTGCTGAGATATCTTGTATTAATATCCACGTTGGCCCTCTAAACCTATTATGGACTCCCAAAAATATATCACAGCTGAGAATGTGTCCCCAGACCTAAACTTTGAGTAGAAGCAGCGGAACAATCTCACCATTCCTGAATTCTGATCTTCACCCCACCTGATTATTAGTGGCCATGCCAAGTCTGACTCATCACCTGGGCTGTGTCAGATCCTACTCCGCCCATATTTCCTTTAAAAAGTTCTTATTTAGGGTGCATTGCAGTAATGGTCTGTGCAGCCATTCCTGATGTCACAGAGGATGAAACACTTTCGGCCAGATTTTCCAAAGGGCTTAGTACCCAACTGATCTTTGAGAACAATGGGAGCTGTGCTTTTGAAAATCTGTCCCTTTTAAGAACCAAGCACCCCAGGGTTGAAACTTGAGTGGCAGTACTTGTGGGAGAGAGCAGAGACAGGATCTCTCTCTCTCACCGTGGTCTGCAGAATGAAAAAGCTAAACAGCCTCTGCTTTTAAAAATGTGCTCCACGCTTTTTCTCCAGAGATGAATTTTCCCTCAGTCCCTTAGAGAAGTTTACACTTTTTAAGGAAGATTCTAATTTGCCTTCATTCCCTCTCTGGCCTATATAACATTAGCTTTGCCAGGGCTCCCTTTCTCAGGGTTCCTGCTTCCGGATTTGCAGTGCAGGAATCTGGCTTTCAGATGGGGGTCGGCCAGCAGTGTTCTGCCACTTGTACCAAAGGGTCGCATTCGGAGACCTTTCCTTTGTCCAGAAGGTGTGTAGGTCCAGATCCTCTGGAACATGGTCAGAGCTTTGTATTCTTTGTGCCCTCTGCACAGGCTCCCAGGTATTTTTGAGACATATTCTGTTTTAATGCAGAATTTTATTTACAGGCTGTTTCAAAATAGTTAACCCTAGGCAGTAAAAGTCTGTTTTTCTTGACTTTTGTCTGGCTTTCAAGTCAAATTGCAGGAGAGAGATCACTTGATCATTGCCTGTTAAGTTCACTCCCTCTGGGGCACCCGGCATTGGCCGCTGTCGGCAGACAGGACACTGGGCTGGATGACCTTTGGTCTGACCCAGTATGGCCATTCTTATGTTCTTATGTCTCTTCTCTGCTAGCTCCTATCTGCCCTTGTCTCCAATCGTCTGCTTAATCAGAACTGCTGCCTTCAGACCTAGCACACTGTGTCATAAACAGTGGAAAACAACATGTAAGCAGTGTTAAGAAAGGAAAATAGCAATTCATCCCTATTTCCTCTCCTCTTTCCTTCTTTGATCTCTACAAACTCAGCTCTTTCCAGTTGGATTTGCGGGATGGTGGGAAGCACAGATACACTGGGGAAAAGTTTGCTTTCAATTTCGCCATCAGTGGACTTACTGTGCATTTATACTGGTGTATCTGAGAGTTTTGCACACTAGATATATTTCATGTGATCTGTAGTACTTCTCTGATTAGTTTGCTCTTACCTGCCCTATTTTCCTCATACATCTCATTTGTTTCTATCACTGATTTTTTTCCCTTCTCTTTTCCTACCGTCCCATCTGAAGGAAAATCTGCAGGTTTATAGATTAATAAAGTTTAGGGCCAGCAGGCACTATTCAGTCATGTAGTCAGACCTCCTGTGTATGACAGGCTGTTACATTTCACCCAGTTATCACTGTATTGAGGCCAATTACTTGTGCTTATGTAAAGTATAATTTATGTAAAGCTAAAGCATATCTGCCAGAAAGACATCATCATAATTTCATGACCTCTTCCCTTGGTAGTTTGTTCCAATGGTTAATCAGCCACTGTTAAAAATATGCTCCTTATTTCTTATTTGAATTTGTCAGGCTTCTGCATCCAGCCATTGGTTCTTGTTATTCTGTTCTCTGCTAGATAAAAGAGCCATTTAGTACCTAGTATTTTCTCCATGAAGGTATGCATGCACTGTAATCAAATCACCTCTCGATCTTGTTTTTGATAAGCTAAACAGATTGAGCTCTTTTTAAGGCTCTCACTGTCATATTTTCTCCAGCCCTTGAATCAGTGTAATCTTTTCTGCACTCTCTCTGGTTTTTCAACATCCTTTTTACAATGTGGACACCAGAACTATGTGCAGTATTCTAGTGTTGATCTCACTAATGCTGTATGCAAAAGTAAAATCACCTCCGTACTCCTACTCCCCTTTTTGTATATCCACAGTATCGCACTGGAGCTCATGTTCAGTTGCTTGTGCACTATGATCTCTAAATCCTTTTCACAGTCACTGCCTTCCAAGACACAATTGCCCGGCCGGCATTCCTTGTTCCCAAATGTATAACTTTGGTATGTATTTGGCTGTATTAAAATGCTTTTGCTTTAAAATGGGCCCAGCTTACCAAGCGATGCAGATCCAGATGAATCTTGCAGCTATGCTTGCCCTGAAATTCTGCATGTGTTGTAATTTTCCCTGTAAAATTCCATTATGTTAAAATACTTTTTTTTTTCTCTCCTAGTCTCTTCCTTTTGTTTGTGGAGCCTATTCCTTCAACCTTTTGTACACATTTCTAGATTGATCAGTTCCTCACTTGTGATTAGACAAGCAATGCAGGATTCCAATCTCTCATGTAGGCTTCATTCCACTTGGAATTAACTTAGGGTGAGCAGATAGCAAGTGTGAAAAATTGGGCCGGCGTTGGGGGTAATAGGTGCCTATATAAGAAAAAGTCCCAAATATCGGGACTGTCCCTGTAAAATCAAGCCATCTCTCACCCTAAATTAACTAGAAGGGACAGTTTGGGTTTTTATTAAAAGAGGATATGGTAATGTTTTGACACCACATATGTTCTTTAAGAAAGATGAGTGGTTATGCATGCTGTGGATGAATGAACAATAAAAATATTGTTGCACATCGTACATTCCACTTCCACATTTCCTTTTTACCCTAGCCTACTCCAACAATAAGTAATTAGATCTCGCAATGCCCTTGTTCCATACATTAGGCAGCAAAATTCAATTACCCTGAGCAGGAATTTACTTTGGGTTGATAACTCCAGTGTCATGGACAAATATTTAGAGGGTTGTGATGTGCAAACATTAAGGGCTAGGACACTTGTAGATATTAATAAAAACAGCTTTTATAAAATCATACTGCCTTGATTTTAGTAGTAGGAGAGAAGGGAGAGTTATTCCTGTCTGTTCATTTTAGACAAAAAAATGCCTGCATGAATTAACCTGTCCTCCTAGGGGCTGTTATTTTTCCTCCGGTATAATGTATTACCCTCCATTACCTTGCATGGCTATTACCGTATCACTTTTTGCGGGAGTTCATAATACCAGTACAACATGGTGTAACTTTTAAGAACTATCCTCAACTGCACTGTGATCAGCAGCCTCCCTTCCTGAGGACAAGTAATATGAGTATGTGGAATTCTCAAAGTTGCGTCCAGACCCAAGTTTCTCACATGACAATACAAAGCCACAAATTATTAATAAACAATTGCATAAGGGCAAGAACTTTGCTCTCAAACAATTCAGTGGCTGCAGCTGCATGTTCCTTATTTGCAGTATGAAGCAGATTAATCTTTTATACCATTGAATTGTTTCTAACTATGTTTTTGTTTCCAGCTTGTTTGTGAGGTGACAGCTATTCTTTCCATACATCATATTTTTGGAATAAACAACTTGACAGCAATCCTTTAAAAGCTAAAGGCTTAGAACTGGATTGATATTGGGAGACTCTTTTCTCGTGCAGTACTATGGACCTGCTTCTGTCCTTACTCCAGCAAAATTACTGATTCCCTCACCAGGGACTTTGGTAGAGAGAGAAATGTGGGGTCAGGCTCAAGGAATGTAATCTTTAACTGACATTTGGAGCAGCTGAGAACTCTTCAAGAGCTGACCCTGTTCAAGACAGACATACTTAGTATAATAGAAAGTGTGAAAAAATGGGATTTAGGAGCTTAAGTCAATTTTGAACATAAGAACAGTCATACTGGGTCACACCAAAGGTCCATCTAGCCCAGTATCCTGTCTTCCGACAGAGGCCAATGCCAGGTGCCCCAGAGGGTATGAACAGAACAGGTAATCATCAAGTGATCCATCCCCTGTCACCCATTCCCAGATTCTGGCAAACAGAGGCTAGGGACACCATCCCTTCCCATCCTGGCTAATAACCATTGATGGACCTACCCTCCATGAACTTATCTAGTGCTTTTTTGAATCCTGTTGTAGTCTTGGCCTTCACGACATCCTCTGACAAGGAGTTCCACAGGTTGACTGTGCGTTGTGTGAAAAAATACTTCCTTTTGTTTATTTTAAACCTGCTGCCTATTAATTTCATTTGGTGACCCCCTAGTTCTTGTGTTTTGAAAATTTTACCCTCAGACTATAATCCTGTGGCCAGCATGAAAGTCAGGTAAATGGGATAAGGAATCCTCATACCCATACAGGCCCCTAGTGGGAGACTTTTGCAGAGCTCCTCCACAAAGGCAGCCCAATGACTAGAGTAACCTACTTGGGGTCAGAGACACCAGTACGTGGAAGAGAGGAACAGATGGGAGGGTACACACAACAATGGAGCTGCTGCCCTGCTGCCTCCTGTTCACAGCGGGCCCTGTGGAGTTTAGCTGTACACCAGAGGTGAAAGTAAGCTGGTATGGTCCGGTACAGCATACCAGTAAGAAAGTGTCGATCGTACTGGCAGGGCCGCTGATTGAGGCAGCTGCCCCGGGGCCCCGTGATTTAAAAGGGCCCCGGGCTCCCGGCCCCCGCCGCCACTACCCCGGGGCTCCGGTGGCGATTTAAAGGGTCGAGTTCCTGGCTACCGCTACCGCACCAGCGGCCGGAGCCCCAGGGCTCCCGGACAACGCCGCTGCTACCGTGCCTGTGGCTGGAGCCCCGGGCCCTTTAAATAGGCACGGGCTGGGCAGTGCTGAAGGTCTGGCTGGGGGATTTTGGCCCCAGCCCTGCCCCGTCTGCCCGAGGCTCTGCCCCTTCTGGGGGCCCAGAGCCACCCACCCCCCACCTTGCCCAGGACCCCGGCCGCCCTGCGTACTGGTAAGTCATTTAAGTTACTTTCACCCCTGCTCTACACCCACCCCTGTATCTAGTTCCCCACTTCCTCATGCAGCAGACCCGCTGCCAGCAACACTCTCCTCGGCCGTGGAGGCAGGGGCTACGTTTTGTCCTAAGTTAATTCAAACCTTGAATCATATTAGCATTTCCCTTGTGAACAGTACAGTGGTTCATATGGGTAACAACTTAAGTTGTTTTACTATATTTCAGGAGCTACCTGACTGC